ACCAGATACTGCTTGAAATTTTCTGGCTTGGACTGAAGCAGACACAAAGTTGCCTGAAAATAACACCTGTTTGCAAATGACCGGTAAGCGAGCCGACAACAGTTCACTTACTGATCGGAGGCGAGCCAGTTTTTCTACTTCGAGGGTGCCTTAAGAAGTCATTAGGTAAAAGCTGATGTGTTTGGATTGACGTGTATTGTGGACCTGAGTCGAGAAAAGACGTGCAGTTCCGGCTGACTCACACTTTAGTAAAAGTAGTAGAAACACTAACATTACTTGCCTTCTTTTTCTTATTTATTTGATTTGCCAAAACTTGAACTAAAAGTGCCAGTGAAATTATTTGGTTGTTTAACATCAGAACTAACGTTTTACTGACTTATAAGTAATCTGAGTTGATGTGAATTGAAATTTGGACGCGGGTTTTATCTCATTAATTCTGACGCTTGTTATAGGACATTAAATACCCTCAATCAAATGTAACTGATGATTTGTTTAATTTGTGTAAATAAATGATTGCATAGTCATTATGAATCAACTTGAACTTGTCTGAGCGTTCCACTTGTTGTGTCACTTTTCACTTCACACAGTCTAGATATCAACGAGTAATGAGAAATACCTGGGTAAAAATTTTCCTCATAACCTTGGGTATGAGAGATGTGGGAGAAGCTTAATTCACCTTAAGCTCACCCTCTACAATGGTAAATATATATAATTATAATAAAGTCACACTTGCTGGAAAATGTTGCTAACTTTTTTCCTCCAGTTTTCACTAAAAATGTGTCAATTAAAACAGGTTGTCACTGTAAATTACTGCAAAAATTAGCCATCTAAAATGCATTAAAATACCAGATCATAGTCAGAATCTTCTCAACTTCAGTGACARAATCCATCGATGCAGTAAAACAATTGCACTTGGTGGACTTCTTGATAATTTCCAGACTAATTAATAATTAATGAACACATTCTGCTCTTGTTCAGTTGTTGAGGTTGTTACACTTATTTGGACAGAACATTTTTATAGTGTAACATTATTGTTTTAGCTTTTAAAAAGCATAACTTCATCACTTGTTCCTTCACTAAACTGCTTAATTTTATTTTACTGAAAAGTTGCATTTTGACTTTATACAAATATATTTCTGATTTGTTTCTTTGTAACCATATGAGAAGTTCCAGTTCTTTTACACTCCTCTTGTAACAAACTTCCAAATTCTATTCAGTGTTCAGCAGATTCTCTGTTCCTGCAGGTTTCAGTCTCAAACTGTCACAGTTTGGTTTTTGGGATCTGTTTTGGTTTATGTGTGTTTTCTGTCTCAGTTCCTTTTTGTCTCAGGTGTGTTCAGTTTCTGTGATTAGTGTTGCCTTCGTCTCCTCAGGTGTTTTCTGTTCCCTCATTAGTTTTTTCTGTGTATTTAAGCTCTGTCCTGTCTCTGTGCTGTAAAGCGCGTCTCGTTTTCCATGTTCTTTGTATTAAGAGGTTTTTCAGCTGCCTCGTCAGCATTTTGATTTAAAATAAAACCTTATTTTTGTTACATCAGAACCCTGTCTGTGGCCTGGGTCATTTTGTATCCAAATCTGACACAAACTGTTCATTCAGAAAAAAAGACTTATGTAAAATAATGAATAAAACTTCAGTCAATATTTAAAGCTGAGTGGACCAAATGACTAATTTAAGAGTGAAATTTTAAAACCCAAGCTGCAGATATTACTGTTTTTATGGATCAAATGCTTGAACTCAGTGCTAGAAAGCTCACAAAGATTACAAAAGGTTTTCAAGAATAAACTTTATTTTGAATTTATTCCATGCACAAAACACACTGAAAATAAATAGAGTTTTAAGAAACCATTCATGACTTTTATGTCTAAAACCTTTAAGAAAAYATCAAACAATAAGTGTTAAATATATTACATTCCACTGGAAGCTTAAACTAATCAGCCTGTGTTGTTCTTTGTATCAGTCCTGTAGGTCATTCATTTCAACTGCAGTTGGACTGTGTACACATCATGATGTCATCAGTTAGACTGTATAAACATCATGATGTCATCAGTTAGACTGTATAAACATCATGATGTCATCAGACTGTATACACATCATGATGTCATCAGTTNCTAGGGTTCGATCAAACCCAGGTTAAAAACCACTGGTCTAAACAATTAATCATTACTGACTACCAGGTTTTTTTCTTGTTTTATTTTAATGTTTCTTGAAGCCAGAAAGTTGACATTTAATGACTTTAGTTTTGTGTCATGTCTTTGATCTGCCTTTTTTCTACAAAATTAAACAACTGAATGAACATCCTGAGGCTGGTGATTCCATCATTTTTGCCAGGACTTGTAAGTATTTGTACTGTATTACTTGACACCTTTGCTATTGACTAAAAATATTTCAGAAAATACAAAAAATCAGACTAAT